GTGTGTGTGTGTGTGTGTGTGTGTGTGTGTGTGTGTGTGTGTGTGTGTGTGTGTGTTGATATATGTATATATATGTGTGTGTGTGTGTTTATATATATATGTGTGTGTGTGTGTATATATATATAAGAACAAAGTGCGAATTCGGTAGGGAAACTGAGAAATAGTCACTTGAACAATACTATTCTCGAAGATGGCATACGATGCTTACATTGGTATCCAACGATGCACAGCTCATTTAGCTGCGCCCAGAGATACTTCATTGTGCGTTTACAGCGCCGCTTATGGTCCGTGGAGACGATGATGTGTGTAACTGGGGTGTGATGGGTGGGTAGAACAAGGATGTCGGGTCAATATTCATATTTATATTTAAGTTCTGAGCGAATGTCACTACTGAATAAGTTGATGTTCGCTGAGATGGCGATGCGCGTAGCAGTTATGTGGTGGATATAGGCATACGGCGCACATGAGAATAGCAATACAGTGATAAAGAACCGATAAGTAGAGCGAAATGTCCGTCAGAGACTAAGACCTGTGTAACTGGTATTAATATGCGGTTGGTGCAGGTAGAGTCTAGAGGACAGAGTCACAGACAGATATAGGTTTTGGGCGAAGCAAATAGCTAAAAAATACACTACGGGAGAACTGTGTGTTTGTTAATCCCAAGCCTCTGTGTATCGGGAGACGCAAATGACGTGTGTGAGTTTCGTAGTTTCGCGAGACCCGAGCGAGACAAGATTGAAGAGTTCGCTGAGACGATGATGTGTTTAGTAGGTGGTATCCTATTTCACTAGTCGAATACATTCGGTGTAGAGGTTTGCGTACCAAAGTACGCCTGCAACAACGTACGAATATGTTTGTAAATACAGTTTCAATAGGTTCTGTGCGAATACCTGAAGAGAATACGCTACTGGAAGAGTTTGTAACCGTGACGACAAAGACGCGCAGAAAGGGGTGTGATGGATGTATGCAGAAAGGACACACTGGATTAGTGCAATTGCGGGAGACAGACAACTATCGAAACAGTTGGAGGGCAGCTCTTGCGGTGCACAATGCAGACTCCGTACAAATGCCTGGAGAAAAGCACTCCTCCGGGTATATAGTAGGATCGTGACTGGCCAATCAACAAGCATGGCCCACATAATCCACTTGTGAATTGAGCAAATGCGCAGGCGCATGCAGCTGATCGAAAGAACGACTGGCACACTCACCTGCTGAGTTGAATTTGTTGGCCACGTGCCCATTGAGTTTTCGGGTCACCTTCTCGAACAGCAGCTGTGGTCAAATACCCAGAGAGATAGAGAGCCCAGAGTTAGAGTGCATTTCAGCTATAAATCGTTAGAACGCCATTTGATAGAATTACATTAATCTTGTGAAATGCAGAAGATATATCTTGAGACATGAAGTACATTAATCTTTTGAAATGAAGTACATTAATCTTGTGAAATGAAGTACAATAATCTTGTGAAATGAAGTACATTAATCTTGTGAAATGAAGTACATTAATCTTGTGAAATGAAGTACATTAATCTTGTGAAATGAAGTGCATTAATCTTGTGAAGTCTCTTAGAGACACACGCATGCACATATGCATTGAGATGAACAAACTCTTCTTCAATATGTATTCCTCGCAACAACACACATACACCGATTCACATGCATACTCAGTTGCACTGGTCTACCAACTATTGGTCCAGTCTGCCTCAGCACAAACTTGGCCTCCGCTCAAGAATATATTGTACACTAGCGTGTTGAATCAAGCACAAACACATGCACAGAATGACTTGGGGGCAATTTCTAAAGAGCCTTCAGCTATTTCCTTTTTACTTCTGTGAATTGAAGAAGTAAAATGACTTCGAAATAATATCACATTTAAACATTTTTCACCCGGGTACGCCTATCCACACATGCACTGCCATGCACACAGCCATGCCCATGACTGTAGACCGATGGAAAGATACACAGTGGATACGAAACAGCGTGCGATAGGCGTGTACGCGCATACACAATGAACAGAGTGTAGACGAGCATACGATCACCAAACGATTGCTCACAGAACTACCAAAACACACCGCATAACATACTAACGCGCGGAGTCACAGTTACCACAGACATGTGCAAAGATACACACCTGGGCTTCTGTTTCCAGCCCTGTCTGCATGAGCACCATCTTGCCCCCGGAGCACTTCTTGGGCTTTGGGTTAGGGCCGGCGTGTCGACGTTTGAACGCAGTCGCCATCACATGTAAGGGTACCCTTTCCCGTCTATTGTTACTGTTCGCTGAATGTGTGTGTGAACTACTTGATGTGTGTGTGTGTGTGTTGCTGGCTGTGAGCCGTGCTGATGGCGTAGACGATGCTGAGCCGTGCGTGTGTTGGTTGGGGCTTGACTCGCTGGAGAGAGTGTAGACATGGGAATGTTAGGTTGAGTGTTGGAAGATACTGTGTTGTAAGTTAGTTAGGACACTTTACGTCCGAATAGTCGGGAATAGATACGCATGGACGACAATACAGTCCTGATAACAACTGTAGAGTACTTCAGGTGCCCAGCTTCTGTGCGAAACTCAAGGCGCGTGACTACGAGAGCGCCATGCCAACAGGTTTGGTGTGCATTCGCAAATGGAACATCGTCTAGAAAAACCCTAAAACAATTTTCGGGACAGGTCTTCACCATACGTGAATAGAATAGTTGTATAGTATGTATCAGCAAATGATCGTATATCTATGCTAGACAAACAATACGCAGACACACACACACATACATATATACACAGAGAGAGAGAGACATACATACACAAACACGCACACACACACACACACACACTCACTCACTCACTCACTCACACTCACTCACTCACACACACGACCACGCAATCACACACACATATATATATATATATATATATACATA